ATACATATTAAGTAAAAATAAGGTAATCAGGTTACTATCCATTTCGCTTAGCAACAAACAATTCTATGTGCATTTTCTTTATACACCGCTTTTTTTTATGTCGGCACCAACGGGTAAAAAATCAATTTTTTTTTATGCTTGCAGATCGTGTGTCAGTAGCCTAGTTGCAAATTCAAGATGAATAGGTTTTTGAAACGTAAATCATCTGACGAGCCATCCACTGCTACTTCATCTAGACCAAGTGAAGTGAGGAGCTCTAGCACAAGGGCAAATCAAAACTGAGGAAGTATGATCCCTCCTATATTGCATATGGGTTTATCTGTGGTGAAAAAAGATGGAGTGGAGTGCCCGAAGTGTGTTCTCTGTCGAGAGATCCACTCCAATGAATGTTTGAAACCATCGAAACTAAAAAGACAATTACAACAGAAACACCCCATTAAGGCCAGAAATTTTTTTATTTCTTCAAACAAGAATCATCACTAGCCAGATAGGCAAGTACATTCAGACAAGCCACAGTTCCAGAGAGGGCACTCAAAGCATCCTTTTTGGCTTCCTTTCGTATTGGCTGTGATAAGAAAACACATACAATCGGGGAAGATTTCCTGTTACCAGCAACCAGAGACATTGTTCAGGAGTTATTTGGAAAGACTGCCACCAAGAAAGTTGATGTGATATCCATATCAAACAATACTGCGAGTAGAAGGATAGATGACATGGCCAAGGACGTCACTGTACAACTTTTGGTGCAGGGATGGAAGGATCAGGTGCCAGGCATTGCCACCCAACACCCTGTCATACAGCCAATGGGTCAAGGTGTTATTTATACTGCGAAAAGGCTGTACAAATGCAAGTTTTTCGATGAAGAGATGGTAATTGGTGTTGGAAGAGACAAGTGAGAACCACGTGAAGGGCAGAGGGCCCTCAGAAACTTTAAGTTCTACAACTTCAGGTCCATGCTCTCTTAATTTTGCTGCTGCTGCCAAAGTCAAGGCAACAACCTTCATCAATGCCTGGAAGAAGCTCCTTTATGACATTGATGAGGAGTATGATTTTGAGGACTTCACAGCAGAAGAATGTCACAGAACCCTTCTCTATGCAGGAGAGAAGGATGCTAAAGTTGAGAATGTGGAGGCTTGGCTGGAGGCTGATGATCCTGGATACCACAACTTGACAGAGGAGGAGATTGTGGACCCTGTATATGAAGCTGCAGACGATTTTGATGAAGAGAAGAGAAGGAAGATGAACCACCAAAAATAAAGCTGCCAGAAGCTAGGAACTGTCTGGACACCCTTATAGAATTTACTCATCAGACTAAAAATGAAAAAAATTGAGGTCTATTATGATCACCTTAGGCACTTGTCATACAGGACCAAAGAAGCAAGGTCACTCAAACAAAGATTGAGACTTTTTCAAGTCAAGACCCTTCAGCAGTGCCTCCTTACCCTCACCATCAACCTCCATGGCAGAGGAGGTTCCTCTTCCAATCCTCATTTCAGACTCAGAGTGACTGCAAGAGGTGCGATTGTTCAGCTGGATGTGCCTGCCAATTTAGGGGACAAGTGTACAGTATTTTGTGTGTATTACTTTTTTTTATTAATTTTTATTGAAAAAAAAAATGTATTTCTTTCATAAAAATTGGATACATTTGTGTTGTCCTCGTTTTTTGTTTAAAATGGAGGTCTTTTTTTTATTTGCTCTAAGGTGGACACCCCTTCCCCCCAATTAGTCCGCCTTAGTGAGGTTTTACTATATTTATAATTGATTTTCAAACTGTTAGATACATATTTTCAAATTAAATTTATTATCCCATTTCTCTTGAATACAATAAGTTACAGTATTGGGTGTTGTATAAACAATTATGATTAATTCAATATTTGCATAAAGCTACATGTACGTAGACTTTTGGCTTCTGTAGCTGCTGTTGTGCTTCCCTGTACAGTAATGCCAAACCATGATGTTACCAAGTCTGTGGCCCCAGTCATTCATGAAGATGTTGTAGCTGATCCCACCTAACACAACTTTACAGTTTAGGGGATTGACTTACCTGCCAGGTACAGGCACTAATATTCAATCTGCAAAACAGTCACAAGTTTTGCTGTGATAAAATCACATTCGTGACTAAACCTCACCAAGTTTGTGTTTTCAATTTTATTCGGTGATTTATCCGAGTAATAATTAATAATGCAGCACTTTTAGTGTTTCAGATAGATTTAGTCTGTGATCCTGCATTTTAAATATCCTGCTATCTAAACAGCTTGTTTCATATATCGGATGATTGATTGCAAAGATAGCGATAGAAAAACCTACTTTTTTCAATCTTATTATACCAACCCAAAGTTTCATGAGAAACTGGCCCACCCTTACCTGACCCACATCTCGGTGTTATTCCAGATGGCTAAATAACTGTTTTAACTGCATTATGATTAACTTGTTGACATCATTTATTCTGGTGGTTGGTAGAGTACATTTATTAAATTGGGTGTGAATTGTCCATGCACTGTATGCATATATAAAATTCAATCAATGTTCAATATGAAGTCTAGTAATAATGGACTGAACGATAGACTTGGCTGAAATCAGGAATGAAACTAGCGTAGAATTCTTGGCAACTTTGCCCATGTTATAATGCTCCTGAGTTACGATATTTTGCACAACTATGGTTTTTTCAGGAACCTAATCCCATCGTAAAAAAGGGGATACCTGTATACTTTGTTTTCTATATGGACACTGGCCCCAGTTTGAACAATGACATACAAATCAAAACCTGAATTTTAACACTCGGAAGTGGTCAGTGAAACTGCACTGAGCTGAGCTACAAAGAGTAACAGTCCTGTTGTGCTACAACACAGATTTGAAAACCCAAACAGTTCCCATTGCAGATACTGTAAATGAGAGAGATAGAAATGCACATTTATTGCAAAATTATTTCCAATTCAAGGACTTAAATAAAATACTTTCCAATCTACCTTATACAACTTAAACAAAACAAATCACAAAATATGCCCTAAGTAATAATTCTCACTAAATGTAAAACCTAAAGTTAAATAAAAATGATGAAATTAATAAGTACAAAAGAACAAATTTAGACTTCCAGAGATCAATTATCTAAATTGCAGGAGGCCTAATACAGGTACAGTATATCTTTGTCTCCACCTTCCTGCCAACCCCAAGGAGAATTGTGTTAACTCTTTAGAAAGATTCAAAAGGAATCTTCATTCTTCACTCCTGATTAGTGCACATAATAGATTAATGATACAATAAACAACAATCTGAACCTTACCATAAGAAATTCATATTGAAAATGATACTATCATACCTCTTTTAACAGAGCTTTGGCCAACAAAATTCCATTTTACAGACAGGCTAACAGCTCGAAACAATGCTAACAAAGCACTTGGGTTCATACAAAGGAGTGTTAGTTACAAGATTAGCAAGGTCATCCTAAAACTAGATCTTGCGCGTGTGAGACCTCACTTGGATCATGCAGTTCAATTCTGGTCACCGTACTACAGAATGGAAAAAGAATCCCTAGAAAGAATTCAGAGGAGAATGACCAGACTAATCCCGGGCATTAGGAACCTTAAGTACAGAGACAGGTTAAAACATCTTAATTTGCATGCCCTCGAGAGACATAGAGTGAGAGGCGATATGCTTGGTGTATAAATGGAAGACAGGGCTAAACAAAGGTGACATTACAAAGGTACTCAAACTATCCAACCAGGAGCGAACTCGTAACAATGGTTTTAAATTCGACAAATTTAGATTTAGGCGCGAAATAGGTAAACACTGGTTTGGAAATATAATGGATGAGTCAAACAAGTTACCAAGTATCATCATTAACTCGAATAAACTGGATAGCTTCAAACATGGGTTGGATGGATATGTGAGCGATAGGGGTTTGGTGTAAATGGGACTGCCCAGTTTGGGCCAATAGGCCCGCTGCAGTTTCCTCCATTCTTGTGTTCTTAATAAATACTCTATACTGTAATAGTATTTATAGTTTCATTACACAAAAAAATAAATCAAATATTAGTGAAAATGAACCAATGATAAAGTCCACTGCTGTCTTTCCTATTTACATCCTCTAGGCCAATCAGCGATCGTCTCAAAACATAAACAGTAGCCCGCCAAGATTCGTGTTTGTAACATTGTGATAGATCTCTTCATATATTCACTATCTACATGAGTTTTGTGAACATTTTATACCCATTATGTCTGGGAAATGCCCAGAGTGCATGTGTTGATAAACCAGCCAAGGTGCCCAGGAACATCATAACTATGGATGTTAAAATGAAAGTGATACGAAGGGTTGAGGCAAGTGAGTGTCAGGTTAACGTTGGTAGGTTGCTTGGCTTGGCTTCCTCCACTGCTAAAACCATTCTCAATAACAGTGAGAAGATAAAAAGAACCAGCCAGTCTACCACATCCTTGGTTGCAATGAAGGTTTCCCACACAAGGAATAAGCTGCTCGAAACGATGGAGAGCAGACTGAACATATGTGGGCAGAAGACCAGAACCAATGCCACATATCCTTAAGTCAGCTTATTATTATGGAGAAGGGAAGGAACCTTTTTACCTACATACAGGTTCAAGAAGGTGAGGGATCTTCAATGGAAAATTTCATTGCCAGTCAAGGCTGGTTTGAGAAATTTAAGCGTCATAGTAACCTTCACATCATCCATCTCACAGGTGAATCTGTAAGTGTTGTTGATCAGGCAGCCCGTGATTACCCCGACACATTTAAACAGAAATTTCGCACCCAGATCTGTTTTGGTGATGGCTAATGCTCCTGGCCACCCATAGTACCTAGACTGTTTAAAGATGGTCCTTCCTGTGGGGATTGTGTTCTTACCACCAAACACAACTTCATTTATCCATCCAATGAACCAAGGATTCACTGAAACCTTTAAGAAGTACTTAATTACCTCTGCTACACTTACATGCAGCTGTTCATCACAACAGATGATCCTGACCAACAGTCAACGGTCTAATTTTGGAGCAAAAAAAATTAATATCTAGATGGCTATTGAAAACATTAGCAGAGCATGGGAAGACATGACCAAAAACTGTATGAGCAGTGTGGCAAAATGTGTCACGATTTTAGAAGCTTTGATGTGGAGGAAAACATCACCAGGGACATTGTCCAACTAGCCAATCAAGCTGGACTTGTTGAAGGAGGAGTTGCTGACATCACAAGGGAGCAGCTTAACTGCAGGAGCTGGACAAACACCATTCTAGTGAAGACACCAAAGATACTGAACCAGAGTAAAAACACTAACTGATGCCTACTGGATGTTGTATGATTCCCTTTAATGACTCTAATATGGTGTGAAGAGATAAATCTAAAATGAATATGCCCACTATGAGGAGCTGCTACGTGAAAAGAAATGAATGGCAAGAGACAGTTAACCCTTAATTCCTTCTTTGTAAAGGAGGAGAATGGGCCACAACCTAGCCCGTCTTTCCATCAGTAGCTGCTGTTTCTCATCTCCCACAGTTGCCAGGAAGGAGTAGGTGTGCAACAGGAGCAAGGCAGTGGTAGTAAACTACACGGTAAGCACTGAAAAAATTAACCGTTGAGTGTTACTTATTAAATTTAGGTTCATTTATGATGATAAAGTCTTCAATGGAATATGTAAGTTGAGCATTGTCACCTTGAGACAGTCATTTTTGGTTGTTTTATTAATGTTGTGGTGGAGTTGTTTGCTTCCCACTTAATGTTTGCTTTTCATACGGAGGTGGCAGAAATTCAATTGTATTTCTAGGTACAGGAGGTCCCCAGGTTGCGAATGAGTTCGGTTCCGGAGGACGTTCTTCAGTCAGACCTGTACGTAAGTCGGAACAAATGCTACGTGCATACCGTACTTACATAACAACGTTTAGAATCCCACTACGGTATATCATGGCCTAAGTCCTTCGATACCGTACATCTAAAATCACTTAATGTAAGACAAAAGAAGAAATAGGAATGACAAAATACAATAAAGTTAAAAAAAAATAATGTAAATTTAAAGTTTGATGTCGTTCATATCGGTGGGTGTTCATAAATCGGGGACCCTCTATTAACTGCAACTTTTTTCTAACGTTTATGACCTATTTTGGAACATTTAATCATTATTTTGTAATTCTCTCTAAAAAAAAAAGTATTTAAAGGGATTTATTTATCATTTCAAACAATTTCACTATAAGCAAGAACATGTTATAATATGGCCTCTTCTAACGGATATTTCACTTGCCAAACAAGCTCTAGAACGTATCTCATCGTCTGTTACAAGAGGTATGATAGCACTATGGTACTTTTAACATGGGTTGATATAATTGAAAAACTTTAATTATGGAAACTGGCCAAATATTCATAATATGAGGCTCTTGACCAAACTTTCTTTTCACCTGTAAAGCCTTTCTTAAGTTAGGGAACAGACATAACATTTCTTACAGATGAACTGGGGTGCTGAATCTACCGACCCCTTATAGGTTACATCTCACACATTGTATGTTGGTGGCATAAAAACAAAATTTACACCAACCAATTTATCTTCCATCTAATAGGCTCCAAGTAGAGACAGAGATATTCATTAAGTCAACTACAACTAATAACACCAAACATTTGGTTAAAAATTAAAATGAACTCTGCATATCATCCACTCTAAGAAAGCAACATACATCCTGTAATATAAATGAAACATTGCAAAACACTTCTAAGCATTAGAATATAAACTGAAAGGTGGCTTTCCTCTACATAAATTTACATATACAGTAGTAGTAATATCTTATCACCCACCTATAGTAAGGGGATACAGCAGTCATGCAACATATGACACATAAGGAAGTACAGTACCATCCCTCCAATACTGTATATGATGTGCTGCTCAGAAACCATCCTCCTTGCAACAGTTATGTAACAAAGACACTGGTTGCAACATGTAAACTGTCACCTCCAGAGTATACAATACACACCCTAATTGGTTGCACTGTGAGTCATTTTAAATTAATGCCTTTGTTGACACTTAGACTACCTATACACCTCACCCAATCACTAAAACTATTTCTAGTACTGCTATCACGCTTACTGTGTAACATCACATTTACTGTGTAAGATCAGGATACTGCGAACGTAGTACATATTCGTTCTGGGATATTCAAATTCATAGCTGCAGGTTTTGTCAATACAGTACTCCCAATACCCAATTCTTTTCAATTTATTTTTTCTTCACTACTGAGCCAAAAAGAAGTAACTTTAATACCAAAAACCTTCCACTTGACAATTTTTTTTCTTTCTCGTTGAAATGGATAAAATTCTAATTACTGGTGAAATGGCCTAATCTCCTGTGGGAGTAACTCTGCCAGCCATTTGCACACCTCTGAATGATAACTATGAGAACACCAACAAGCTATTTGTATGTACAGTACAGTACCAGATAACAAATAAGTGAGATGTGTGATGTGATGGTCTGCTGGTAAGTGGTGAAATACTGAAGAATGGGAAGATCATTGTCCAAATACCTCCTGTGAGGCGTAAACCATGTACAGGAACCCGTCTTCGTGGCGATGTTGCTCATACACCTGCAAAATAGTCAGGCATCTGTACCTCCCAACTTTAATTCTCCCTTTCTCTGTAACTTATTACCAGAATTCTCCTTCCCTTAGCTCTTTTTAGAAATCTCTTTCATCTCTACAATAAAATGTTCTTACGACTACAGGTCCATCCTGATGCACAATACAATAAAACCTGTTTGCAGTGTGAATGTCACCTAGACATGATCATCTGACCTGCAAGAAACTTCAGAGGACTTTCAATTTAATCCTCCAGATGTCAAAACAATATACAGTACAGTTCACTACTAAATTAAACCATTCTATATCAAGTATAAATATTAAATGTGTGATGTACCTGAGCAAGAGTGTTGGAGACGTTGGCAAGGGCACGTTGGTTGATGAGGAGGAAGAATGCTTGAGTTGGATGTAGTTGCAGACGCCGCCTATTACAAAGGGATTTAAGTACAATATTAAATTATCTGCTGAGCAGAAACCATCTTCGAGAAAACCAGATTTCTCAATAATGGAAAAATAATTAACTAAACTGAAAATCTAAGAATACAATTTTACAACAGTTTTATCCTCTTAACATTCTAGATAGCAGATCCTAAATGACTACTCATTAGTGACCTATAAACTGTATAATTATCAAAACACATTTACAGGTATTACTGACCTTATAATCTTGACAAGCTCTCCCATGGTGACGTGGTCCGGAACAAGGAATTTAGTTTTGTCAAGCAGAGGGAGATGTCTCTCGCCAGGATATCTCTCTATGATCACTGGGATTTTATTTGGATGTTGTTCCCTGATTTGTTCCACGTCTCGCTGACGCTGGGCTGCAAGCATAATCAGTTTGACTTATATTTCAGTTTCTACAAGGAGTAGTTAATACAATACAGTACTGTACTGTACAGTATCTTCACAAACTAAGTTCCTGCCAGAGGCCAGTTTCACCCAAATGTACAGTACAGTAATATATTGCACTGCAGTACACTGATCCCTCTGTTAACGAATGCCTCGGTTTATGAAATTTCGGTTAACAAATTACCTTCCATAAGATTCTTCACTTCGGTTAACGAAAAAATTTCGGTTGACAAATTCCTTACAAATTTTTCCCAACATGTTTTCGCCTGCTCACCAGCTGTAGTATTAGTCCGCCAATACAGTAATCGGTTTTAGGGCTTAAATTCGTTACCATTTGAGTAAATATCAAGAAGGTTGTACTATTCAATAATTATCCAAGTCTTATATTACAGCTTTTAGTCATTTTAACAATTATTTAACATAATTGAAGTACAGGGAACTAGTTTTTAGCATGCCAAACAGCCACTCAACACACCCAAAATCAAGGTAGGTAGATACCAGGTAGCCTCACGCAGGCCCATAAGAAATCACTAATTGGCAACTCTACTCTCGAAATCGCTAAACCACGTCCCTTTTGTCACTTCATGCGTTTGTAATATTGTGGTATTATTATCTGTATAGATTCTTTCTCTAATCAAAATATACTAGCAGGTGGCTACAGCGCAATAAATCATTGTTATAAAAGAAAAACACTCCACTTTCACTTGTAAATATCCCGCTTCTACTGTTTGATGTAACGAAGTGGGCGGAGCTTAATAAGTGATGTCATCGCTAGCCAATCAGCAACGTTGGATTGAATCCAGCGGTCGCAAGCGTCACAAGAAAGATATTTATATTTGTTTTATATATTTAATCTGTGGCTCCAATTAAAATAAAACAAAAAAATCTCCATTCCAGACATTTATTGTACAACTCTTAATACCATCATAAGCCTTCAAAAATACATAAATAATAATTTCAAATTTATTTTCATTAGCGTAGAGCCTATGGGAGTGAGGCTACCTGGTATCTAACCTACCTTGCCCAAAATGGCATCAGTGTGTGTCCCTGCTCAGTAGAGGAAGCTTCTTGCTTGAGACTTTCTTGAACATAAACTATTTTTACATTTTTCCAGTACTGTACAATTATTGGTCATTCTGAAGTTTATTTTACATAGTGACAATATATAATGCAGTGCAGTGTTGATTTAAAGAAAATAATCTTGAATTACACCAAGTGAACTAAAATTTTATGGGTGAAATGGCAGCCTGGAGTGACTTCTCTTCCACCCCAATGCCTTCTCTTCTCCCTTCTCCTCCACCCCCATTCTAATTTCCATCATCATCATCAACCAGGAGCCTTCTACATGCACACCTCAAAGTAAGTGTACTTGACTGCATTTATTTTTAGTTTGTATGTAATTTTCGGTGAGCTGGAACCAATTACCCAAAATCCCATTGAAACAATGGTTTCGGTTAACGAACAACCTTCTGGAACGAATTGTGTTCATTAACCGAGGGACCACTGTACTGTATATTACAGTATTACTTCTACCCCTACAAATTTCATCTATGCACTTTTTTTTAGAAGACGTAACAGTTACACCTTGATAATTCAAATTGCTTGGGTCCAAGTTGTGTTTGAATAATAATAAAAAAACAGTATGGATGTATGGGTTCCAGCCACTAAGTGGGTATTTTCACAATACGGAAACTAGCCACATAGTAAAATTCATTAACCTTTAAACCCCAGGTGACGTTCCTAAACGTTCACCTAAGCGACCCCAGGTGACTTTCCCGAACGTTCTTAATTTTTGCGGCATATTTTGAATGTCCAGGCGGGAGGAAATCCTTTGTATGAGAAATTTGTGTAACTGACAACTCAACTCATGTGTATTTGTCTAAAGACTTGTGCCTCATGGTCAGTTACCCGTCAGATATTGTGAAGGATACAAGTCCTTATGACCCACCTCACTCCTCCATACCCAAGTGCAAGTGAAGGCATTTCCTTGACAGTAAGTGCTGTTCATCAAGAGTTGCTTGATTTGTGTGGCATTGATATAGTACAGTATTGGGTAACAAAGACAATGATGAGGAAACAACCCAGATGATGTCAAATTTGCTGAGGTGGTGAGGACAGTGATAGGCTTACAGACTGGCATTTCCTCCCCTCCCAGCCAACCACTGTGAACCACAGAGCAAAGATATGGCAACTTGGCGCAAGAAGTGTGGTGCTGCCTTATGTATTCCATGTGACAAAGACTTCCACGCAACCAAGAAGTTCTGAATTCAGTTAAAGTACATGTACAAATAAAGCTGAATTATTAGATAAGTTAAAAGAGGGGATGAGTGCTGCCGTGGCTGGTTGGTTGTTTGGTATAGGTATACAGTAGTGCACTAAGCTAGTACAAGTTGCTATTTGCGATTTTGCCTATTCATGCCATTCCTTGGAACCTAACAAGGGTTTACTGTACTGTACAATACTAGTATTCCTTTGGTAAGAGAAATTCTGTTAAATTACAAATGAGATTAACCACCATACAGCATTTGATTAACTGGCACCCCCTATTGCTGGATGACAAAGCTTTTACAGTACAGTACTGTTTTAGGTTGAAAAGTTCATCAACACGGCAGAAAGCCTAAGGCGGACTCAAAAATATCAGTAAACAATGTCAAGTATGTATGTGTATATATATATATATACACAACTAGACCCCAACTTACGACCGACGGGACCTACGACCGCCGCAGTTGTGACCATTTTTTTTTCATTTTTTTTTTCAAAATGACACGCATTTTCTATACCGAAACGTTTCCAGTTAATGTAGTCTCCATGTATAATTAGAAAATTATGGGGGCTCTGTGTGCATTCAGCTGACTAGATTAAAGGTAAGTGCTCAGTCACACCGTATCCATTCCTCATTATTTATTACTTTCACTGTACTGTATTTCATTGTAGATTTTTTATTTAAAATTTTATTTTTTTATCTATGTCGGACTTACGACCATTCGGACTTACGACCTGGATTTGGGTCCCTAACCCCGTCGTAAGTCGGGGTCTAGCTGTATATATATATACTTACGACTGCTTCGACTTACAACCGTCGGGACTTACGACCGCCGCAGTTGTGACCATTTTTTTCCCCCAAATGACACACGCATTTTCTATACCGAAACGTTTCCAGTTTATGTAGTCTCCATGTATAATTAGAAAATTATGGGGGCCCCATGTGCATTCAGCTGACTACATTAAAGGTAAGTGCTCAGTCACACTGTATCCATTCCTTATTATTTATTAATTTCACTGTACTGTATTTCATTGTAGATTTTTTATTTATTTATTTATTTTTTTTATCTATGTCGGACTTACGACCATTCGGACTTACGACCCGGATTTGGGTCCCTAACCCCGTCGTAAGTCGGGGTCTAGCTGTATATATATAATATATATATAGTCCCCGACTTACGACCGACTCGACTTACGTCCACCCGCACCAAAATGTGGTCAAATTATGTATTTTTGAGTCCCAAAGTCAGTGCATAGACAAAATTTTCATCTGTAATTCATTTTAAAATGGCTGGCAAGCTTAAAGGTGGGTGTTTTGTGATGCTGAGAAGAAAAAGAGACCCAAATTTTCAATTTTCTATGTGTTATTTAAGCATTTCCGACTTACAACCTGGATGTCGGTCCCTAACCCCGTCGTAAGTCGGTGTGTGTGTGTGCGTGTACTGTATACAGTACAGTTCTGTAACCAGCATTTAACTGGCTCAAGGACTGTAAACTTTATCAAGGTTTGTCCGTGCAATCGTAGCATTTTATACAGATAATTCTGCCTCACCTTTCCCTTTTTCTCACCAAATTTGCAATTTCTGTATTATATTATACAGTACATTGTACAGTACCTGTACTAGCACTACTGATGCCACTTTATTGCACTGAATTTTACCAACCTTAAACAGTAAAAACTATTGGTGATGGAAGGAAATACAGTAGAGTACAGTACTGTATACAGCTATGTGCTGTACTGTACCAGTTACAGTATTTCATTTTCATTGAAATATATACTACAATTAACTTGCATCTGAGTTACTTGCAATGCAGCTTTTGTTCCACTAACAAATAAAAACAAACTATCTTTGATCTATGATTTTGAACAAAATACAACACTGCATAATACAAGTTAGTAAATAAATGCCTTGCCAATCACTCAATAGAATTAAAGAATTTTTGTTTCAAAAGGTCTTACCTGGTGACTTGAAGCAGATATATTATTATGGTTCTATTTAAAGTGTGTAGAATGACTAGTGTTCATTCAGTCAGCCATATTTCAAATATAGTATAGACAAAGAGATGCATGGCTGGCTAAACTATTGTAGTGCTAAAGTTCAATCTAGAAAATGTTTAGAAGGCTAATTATATGGACAAATCACGTCACATAGTCCGTTGTGAAGGCCAAGACTGAATGATCCTCAAGAAACCTAACATAACCTCTAGCGAGACAAACATAAGTTATCTGCCACTGCGAGAGACAATGTGATGAGATTTGTCAGTACAAATGTCCATGGTGTTTAAAAAATCTAAGTTACATTAAAATGTTTTTTACTTTATCATAACTGATGTGCATTTTTTCTTACAACCTAACTTTCTCCTAAAAAAAAAAGCTAGATTAGTTTTGGTTTAGTTCATAAGTGTTTCCATTACAACCTTACATTTCCTTGATACATTTTCAACGTTAGCATACTGTATCACGTGGAGTGATGTCATTACATAAAACACAATGGCAACAAATCTGTTCATCTTACACTGAAGTATAATGACAGATCAACACCCTGCCACCAGAGGAAGATTTTTTTTAATAGTAATAATTAGTAAGTACAGTATTGTATTATCATAAAACTTCACTGGCAATTATGGAGATTACCATCGTGGTTTTTGTTTTATTTTTCAAGTTCTATAATATAATTCTAAGATTTGGACTTTCTCCAAATATTCTCTCAGGGAAAATGGGCAAAGCAAACCTAACCCACACTACCTTGCAACTTTTTAAGCACAGGTGTACAATACTGAGTTGTTTGTTTAAAAAAATCTATAATGTTTTATTAGAACAAATCCAGTGAAGGAACAAAAAAATAAAACTTTAAATTTACTTATAAAATGGCAAATAGGATGTAACTTCTGCATTCTCAGCAGTGATTAGTAAACAAAAACCATCTTTTATTTAATTTTATCCTCTTCAACACCAATCAGCACATTAGCCGCTTGGGGGGTCGGTCATGTCTGTTACGCACTGTTGGTAAGTACTGGGCATGCACCGGCTCCTGAATGTATCTCGACCTGTTCCAGTGTTGGTCAAGTGTATAATATGGTCTTGAAAGAGCTCATACTCAGTATCGTCACAATGCTGGCAAATTGTTGCAAGTTTACAATTCTCAATCCGAAAAAGTTTCCCTTCAATAAAATGTGTTTGATTTTAGCTAGAACAAGTCATAGTGCAATGGAAAAAGTGGCAGTCTTGAGTTATAGTCCTGGAACACTGAACACAAACATCTCACACACTGTAAGCTACTGAGATTAACTCATTTTTCCTTACTTCCCCACCAGATTGGCAGAAAACTCATTAAAACAATCAGAAAAATCTCCCAAGAAAACAAACCAATTTGAATAGTGTGAGCATGACAGAAAATTTCTATATCTTAGATTATACTTTGTTATATAATTTGGTAAAATATGTTTGATTTAGCTCAGTTAAAGAAGTGCAAGATAAGCATTCACCATGACGGAATTAGACTTCATAACTGCCTAGATCAGAGCTTTAATGGCATATATAGCACACATGGGAGGTATTAATATACTAAAAACAGGGAGATCAGAATTGTCTATCAACTCCAAGAAACGTAATAGCCATTTTTTCCATTAATATTTTTATGATTAAACAGGATGTGTTCTCTCACCATTAAACACAGCTAAAGTAAGTCAATCTCTGATCATAAAAGTATATGTAGGCCGTAAATATTTCATCATTGTTGGACCTTCAATATTATAACTAACTGCGTTGGAATATTGTACTAGAATTAACACATAACATTTAATTCTGAGATTCTGAAAGTTTTATCAGGCATGGTCAATGAAATACCGTGCTTTGGATCACGTCCTCAGATAGCTTTAGGTAATATTAACGACAATTTGGTCATGTTATCAGACGATGACGCACTTGAGAAAATGGTGATGGACAAAGAACGTAAAAGCCTTCAAATGTTTACTTACCGAAATTTCGCCTTTCCCTGAATGGTTTGGCTTGGTTGTTCATGTTCACTTGTTTATTGGTAACTAATAATTAAATTAAACTATATAAAACTCTATCAATAACTATATAACAACGATAATATGTAGGTTGTTAAGTCGTCTCGTGCAGCTGCGACTCCTCTCAGCTGTTCCAATGTTTTGTTTACATCTGAGAGCTGTTCCCCCACTCAACAACTGACTTTTAATGCCTAAAGTAATATGTCCTTTAATAACCTTAATATAATTACTTTTGAGATTAATAATTATTTTTAGTAAATCTGTAGATACGTAATAGAAGCACTAATAGAAGAAATAAGTTAATAATTAGTAGTTGCGCAGTGATGAGTGGGGAGGTGAATCTACCAGCCGCTGCCAGGACCACCGAGGGACGCCATTGGTTCTATTATTAAACAAGCCCGTGTGGAAGGCGCTCCCAGCCAATCAGCGCCTCCGTTACTAAGATCCTCTATTGGTGACTGATGGCCCACGATTTTGTAAATGATTGTAATGGAGATAAGACAGGGAGATTAAAGAAGAAATAAACATGGGATTTCCAGTTAAATCTTTCTAAATTATCAGTTTTTATCATATTTATTGATTAATCTCAATACGTTGATATCAAAAGTAACGAAGCCGTTGACACGCAGTCAATCACAAAGAATGTGAGTGAGCTTGAGGTTCCTTTTTGAATGTCGGCTTTCTGTGATGTTTTCCCGCCATATTGAGTGGACAGCGGTGGCCAATCAGAGGAGGCGGTGGAGTCACGTGACCGTAAGTGGTGTGCGACGTTGTCAGATGTGGCGACTAGTGTTAGTGTTTGTGACCGAGGCGCCCGGGAGTGTCTGTGTAGTGCTTCTCGCCTGAGCTTCTGTGAGAGGAAGGTAGATTAAAGGAAAATACCGCTGAACAAGTGTATTAAAAGTTTAAGTGAGGCATTGAGTGTAAAAAGTGGATGAGTTTGAAGTGCGATAGTGCCTGAATCTATAAGAAATTAATATTAAGGCGAGGTTCCCTTGCGGGTGGAATACGCTGTGTGTAGGTTAACCGTGGATGGGATAACTTGTACTGAGGACATGGATTATGGTCTCTTTCTTCACTGATTCAGGTAAGTTGCACCTTCTGGCGATTCCAACAATCACTTTCCTCATATTAGTGCATTGAGCTGTGTGTTATTGTGTTGTTAAAGGGCTGAGGAAGTGAGTAAATGCATGATTCTCAGATCGCCACCATGTGATTCATTTGTACAATGGCTAGCTGAGCCCCCCTGAACGCTTATCGCCCAGCACATCCTTCCTCACGATAAATGCATTATGTAACTTACTGGTTAACTCAGTGTTTACCCAGATTGTCAGTTGGCAAGTTGGATGAGATTATGCACTGGGCATTGAACACGGTAACGAGTACTGAATTTGGAAACGTGTCGAACACTGCATCAACAAGTATTAGTGACTGGCCGATACGAGTGGTGCATGTTTACATAATGTAGAGTACAGGTATATCAAATTGGTTCTCAAGCAGAGTAAGGCAGGCCTGGTGTTTCTTAATTCACCAGAAAGATGTCCATAGAAATTTCAGGGCTTATGAAATTAGTTTTGTTTTTGAAACCAGATTAAATACATACAAAATCTTAGGCATTGGTGCAATTATTAGGACCTGATGTGATGGCACCGTATTAATCTAATTCAGTGTGTCAAACCTAAACTTACAACCGAATTTCAAATAACATTTTTTTTTACATAAAATCTGGATGGTAAAAAAAAACACTTTAGTTCATGCCATATCGCGGATTTAATTTTGTAAATTTTGAGGTTCATTTCGGTAGATTTTGACGAGTAAGTAGATTGTTAAGACTTTCTATTGGGGCAAGGTTGCAGAGGAAGAGGGAGACGCTGATACTGTGTAGTGTCATACAAGGTCACTAGTTCACGGTCATAGGTCACCGGGTGTAGGAATCTAGGTTCAAGTCAAGTTGTCACTAGACTGGTGTCTTGGGAGTACGAGTCAAGTGTCATGTTAAGCCAAAGAGGTATGGTATTAGACGGGTGATAGTCTCGAGTCATAACAAGCTAGTAAGTGGCCAAGGGTCACCCCGGGTCAAAGAAGTTCTAGCCTGCTGCCATTACCAAATCTAAATATCGTCAGGTTCGGCGCTGGTCTGGAAGTCATATCAAGATGAATTGGTTTAGAAGTCACTGGACCACTAGGTTTGGCCCTACAAAAATAATTGATTTTATTAACCAGTGGACATAACGGAAGTTCGTAAATATTCAGCAGCTGTTGGACAAAGCGTAAATTAATATATATATATATATATATATATATATATATATATATATATATATATATATATATATATATATATATATATATATTATATATTTTTTTTTTATGTAGATCCACAATGAAAACGTGGGTAAGATAAATATGTGTGTGTGTGTGCGCATGAGAGAGTGAAGTTACAGTATTGTATTTAAATAATACGAGATGGACAAGGCTGTAGTCTGTTGAGGTACTTTAGGGTTGTAAGCATTGACAGCATTGACAGTGTGATTGATCTGATTGTCACCCAGGGGTTTGCTCGTAATATGAAGGGTAAAGAACTGCCGAAACTATTTTATGATATAACTACTTCAGTGTATATATATATATATATATATATATATATATATATATATATATATATATATATATATATATATATATATATATATATATATATATATATATATATATATATATATATATATATATATATATATATATATATATATATATATATATATATATATATATATATATATATATATATATATATATATATAGTATATATATCGTGCAGACCCGATACAAGTTAAAGGGTTAAGGATATCGTGCAGATTATCGGTACACCTGTGTGTCGCAAGTTACATATTGACGTTCGTTCTCACGGAATCTGTGGGATTTGAAAAAAAATAATCTGAAATATATTCGTGTACTTGTTCTTCAGCTGTGCACCATTCAGTGTTGGTCAGACAGCAATGTATATCTTTATCACCCCCAGTTCATTAAGTTCGATCCAACATGCCCATTGTGACAGCGGATAAATGCGTTGGTGTAACGTTAGTTAATTTACAACAACACTGACCACGTGGACTCCAGTCACCGCGGCGATATGCAACAAACCTCAAAGTTTATAACTAAAAAGTGTTGTCTACGTAATTGTTAATCACATGACCTTTACAACATATCCAAAATATCAACAAATACTTCGTCACACTGTAGCTCCACCTACCTGATCGTTGTCACCGCCTCACAACATAACCCTCAGTCACCATCCCTATCTTACAGCTGATCCAGAAGGATACTATGACAACCATTCCACGTAACTACTGCAATCCCAAATGCTGATACAGTAAATTCCCACGTGAACAACAACTGGCTCATTACAGAACTACGTGACAAGCTACAGCTTGGCCACCACCAACTATCCACATTTTACCAAAAACAACTATCACTCATCACTTAATCAACAACTAACTATACCATACTTGACTAACAACTCTCACAACACTTGACCAACAGCAACTATCCCAGCACCGACCACCACCACCAACTATCCCACAGCACCTGACCACCACCACCACCACCAACTATCCCACAGCACCTGACCACCACCACCACCAACAACAACTATCCTACAACATCTCACCACCACCACCAACTATCCGACAACACCTGACAACCTCCAACAACTATCCTACAACACCTGACCAACAACACCTGGTCACCACCATAACAAATATTCACAACACCTGACCAACAACAACTATCCCACAACACCTGACCAACAACAACTATCCTACAATACCTGACCAACAACAACTATCCCACAACACCTGACCAACAACAACTATCCCACAATACCTGGCCAACAACAACTATCCCACAACAACTATCCCACAACAACCATCCCACAACACCTGACCAACAACAACCATCCCACAACACCTGACCAACAACAACTATCCCACAATACCTGGCCAACAACAACTATCCCACAACAACTATCCCACAACACCTGACCAACAACAACTAATCCTACAACACCTGACCAACAACAACTATCCCACAATACCTGACCAACAACAACCATCCTAAAATACCTGACCAACAACAACTATCCCACAACACCTGACCAACAACAACTAATCCTACAACACCTGACCAACAACAACTATCCCACAACAACTATCCAACAACACCTGACCAACAACAACTATCCCACAACACCTGACCAACAACTATCCTACAATACCTGACCAACAACAATTGCAATACCTGACCAGCAACAACTATCCCACAATACCTGACCAACAACAACTATCCCACAACACCTGACCAACAACAACCATCCCACAACACCTGACCAACAACAACCATCCAACAACACCTGACCAACAACAACTATCCCACAACACCTGACCAACAACAACCATCCCTACAATACCCGACCAACAACAACTATCCCACAACACCTGACCAACAACAACTATCCCACAATACCTGGCCAACAACTATCCCACAACACCTGACCAACAACAACTAATCCTACAACACCTGACCAACAACAACTATCCTACAATACCTGACCAACAACTATCCCACAACACCTGACCAACAACAATTATCCACAACACCACTCAACAACAACTATCCCACAACACCTGACCAACAACAACTATCCCACAACACCTGACCAACAACAACTATCCCACAACACCTGACCAACAACAACTATCCCACAACACCCGACCAACAACAACTATCCTACAATACCTGACCAACAACAATTGCAATACCTGACCAGCAAAAACTATCCCACAATACCTGACCAACAACAACTATCCCACAACACCTGACCAACAACAACCATCCTTCAATACCTGACCAACAACTATCCCACAACACCTAACCAACAACAACTACAATACCTGACCAGCAACAACTATCCCACAACACCTGACCAACAACAATTGCAATACCTGACCAACAACTATCCTACAATACCTGACCAACAACAACTATCCCACAACACCTGGCCAACAACAACTGCAATACCTGATCCCCAACAACTACAATACCTGACCAACAACAACTATCCCACAACACCTGACCAGCAACAACTATCCTACAATACCTGACCAAC